CAAAAGTGAACAACAATGACAAATGCTCCTCTTAATGCTCCCTAAGATTACATTAGCTTTTTTGAGGGTGCCATATTGAATTGTTGACTTATACTCTACTTTCTGTACATTAAAATCTTAGATCTTTTCCAAAGGAAAACCCATATGACGCCTGTCTTGTACTGGTGAAGTTGATTTGTTGAAGTTGACTTACATGAAAACCTAAAGATGTAGTCAATATCCTAGATGTTTTTCATTGTATAGGCCAAAGAGGCCTGGGTTCTTGACTATATTCGTTAGCTGTCATATGAATATTTTCTAAGCCTAGGTACCTTTTATTCTCTCCAAATTATCTCAGTGAGTGGATATATATAAATTATATATAATATAATCATATATATATATATATATATATATATATATATATATATATTATATATATATATATATAATTTTCTATAGGGATCAAGAATGGGCTTGTGTTTTTTTTTGTGAAGGAAACTCCCAGGTGTGGAAACTCCTACCAATGCCAGTTTGCACTTTCTGCTTCAATCTATACTCAGAGTTCATTAGTTCTCTCTCTGGAGGTAGATTGCATTTTTCATCTTGAGTCCTTTATTGCTTCCAACTCTTCCACACCTTTCAGATCTATCTCCCTTCTCTATTCCTCTAGCTTCTATTTTGTGCAAGTTTGGTTGAAAGGCAGTCATAGTACAGATAATGTGCTACTTTAACCACAGATTTGACAACCACTATGTACATATGTACATATGGATTGATAGGCACACATATACATACACACATGTATACATACTTACACACATGCATACATACATATATGGATTGACACACACATATATACTTATACATATACATACATGCACATATGTACACATATACATATACATACATTCATTAGTTGTGTAATCCTGGGAAGCCTCTTAACCTCAATTTCCTCATCTTTAAAATGGGAATAATAATAGCACCTATCTCCCCCGGTTGTTTTGAGGATCAAATGAAATAATTGTAAGGCCTATGCTCATAGTAAGCATTATACAGATGTTAGCTATTAATGTTGTTATTGTTAGTAACTGGATAGAGGCAAATGGGAAAGGGATAGAATGCATGGAGGAGAATCAGTAGAAAGACAGATTTAGAAAAATATTTTAATAGATCTCATTGACATAGAGACATATCCCAATGTCCTCAGCTCAGCCTGATTCTTATCCCCCACGGGATACATTCAACTGTTTGGAGGCATTGAAAAAACATATTTTCTAAATCCCTGTGCCCCACCTGCTTTGGGCATCTCCCTCTTATCTTTCATTCTCACATGACCAGTTCATATCCTTTTATAATCAGCTAGGTCCTCAATGATGTTTTTATGCCACATTTCACATTCAAATCCTCACTTCTGAGATGTTGCAACCTGCTTGTGGTGACCCTACATGCTTTTTTATTTCTCCTCTACAAATAATAACAGGTTTACATGTCAATTTATAATTTAAAAAGGACATTCATACACATGATCTCATTTGATCCTAACAAAAATCTACAGATGAGGACACTGATTCTCAGATGGGATCAGTAGCTTACATACAAGGTTGCATAGCTAATAAGTGACAAAGCCAAAGCTTAGGCCTCTTCTGATGCTGAAGCTGGGTTTCAGTGCATTGCCCTGTCCTAGGTTTCTAGACAGAAGATGATAAGTGACCATCAGATTCCTACAACTAACTCTGATCGTTGTGAGGTCACTTCTGGTCTTAAAAAAATGTTTTTGACAAGTAACTTGGCAGAGGGAGAAGACCATTTGGTTTGGGGTACAAAGACCTGGTTTAGGATCCTGGTTTTGATAGTTACCTCTGGTAGGCTGTCATCTCTTGAGAACTCAGTTTACTCTTCTGTTAAGAGGAGGGGGTTGAATTAAAATAATTTTACACACACACACACACATATACACATACCTATTTGTGTCTAATGGTAGCCATCTTTGGGGAAGAGGGGAGAAAAAAAGAAAAAAAAAGAAATTTACATAACTTTGTTGTGTATTTGGAGGGAATAGCAAGTTATATACAATAGATCTATAGTTGTTGTACCGAGAAATCAGCAAGTGAGACCCAGATGTAATTTAAAATGTGGATTTATTTGTGCGCGGCTGCAAGGGGTATGCACATCCAAATAAAGCAGCCCTGATCAGGGGTCGAGCTAGGGTTTATATGGAAAAGAGCAGGGGAAGGAAATGCCAAGAACACTGATGAGGTAATCCAAAGGTGCAGGTGTCTTTGGGGGCTGTGGATGGGAAAGTACAGGGAGTACACTGGACAGGGAGGGGGATGGATCTTTGGAGTCTGGCAGGAGGAAGAGTCCTTGGGCTGGCCAAGGGCACCCCTCTCCCTCTGTCTTGATGAAAGAATGCTCTGCAACAAGGGAAAGCTTTCTCACAACACAGGAACTTACTGAAGAATTGGGAGGCTTCCAGAGACATGATCTGAGGGTTGGGGCCTGAGCAGCCCAGCTCTGTGTAGCTGTACCAGGGAGAGAGATAAGGGTCATGCTGAGGCCCATGCATGAATAAGTGCTAGGCACAGTGTCCTTGGGCTGGGGAATGGTTGTTAGAGACAGTGTTTCTGAGACTAGGAAGAAATTGGGGCACAAGTACAAGCACAAGCACCCGAGCACCCCATCATTGCAGGTCAGGGATCACACAAACCAGACCAGGGGTCCTGGTCTTTGGTATAAACATAATTATCTAAAGCAATTATATTGCAAGCTTTCTTGTCTGTGTGAGTTGGAGGTAGGGGCTATGCTGAGCTATGCAAGAGTACATTTCGCTATTGTTTAGATTTAGGAGGAAAGAGGTCTGGGGCAAGATTAAGCACCAACTTTTGCTTTCCATGGGTTAAAGGGCCCTACTACTTAAATGGCAAAATAATGTTCTGCATTACATAGTTTCATGTGCAATCGTCTTTTTTATTGTACTGTGTTACATACTCCCCATCTTTGGGGAGGAGGGAAGAAAAAAAAGAAATTTACATGATAACTTTGTTGTATATTTGGAGGGAATAGCAAGTTATATACAATAGATCTATAGTTTCATGTGCAATCGTATTTTTTATTGTACTGTGTTATTGTTTTGTTCTGTTACTTGAAAATAAAAAAAATAAAAAATAAAAATCAAGAGAAAAATAGCTCAATTAAACAATTAGCAAGCATTTATCAAGTACCTACTTTGTGCTAGGCACTCATACAGAGAAAGAATCCCTACTCTTAGGGAGCTTCTGTTCTGAGTAATAATAATGATAATAACAAGCACTTATATTTGTGTAATTTTTTAAGATTTTAAGGTTTTCAAAGTGCTTTACAAATATCATCTCATTTTATCCGCACAGCAATCCTGGGAGGTAGGTGCTATTACTATCTGCATTTTGCCAATGAAGGAACTGAGGAAGACAGAGCTTAAGTGACTTGCCCACTAGCCCAGGATCACCCAGCTAGGGAGTGTCTGAGACTAGTTTAGATTTCCTGCTTGCAGATCCAGGAGGGTTCTAGCCTCTGTACCACATATCTTTGTCTTATTAGATAATTTTTGAGGACTTGTCCAGCTCTGAGTCTATGAATCTTATGATTTGGGTTTAAATCTGATCTTGAGTAAGCATTTAACTACTTGGTGCCTTAGTTTCTTTATCTCTAAAGTAAATAAAATCATGCTTACATTACTTACCTAAGGGGGTGGCATTAGGAGCATTTTGTCAATTGTAGGTGTCACACAAACATAGGCTATTTAAATGTTCTAGTATCTAGTCAATAAGATGCAGGTCTTGTGGTCAGGAAGAGCTGGGTTCAAGTCTTTCCTTGATCACATACTGGCTGCGTGACCCTGGTCAAGTTATTTACCCTCTTAGCACCCCAAGCAACTCTCTAAGACAGTCATTTACATTTGCATTGGTGGAGGATATTTGTAGGAGTTCAGAGAATTATTAATACTGGTCTATTAGAGCATGATGGAAAACTTAAAATAATAAATTAACTGAATCCCATCTATTCTTTTTCTCCTCTTGCTGATGCATTTATTAATACCATAAAGTTCCAAGGGCTAAGGAGAATATTTTTTGGTTCATGTGTCTTATTTTCTGGACATCTTTCTCCTTTCTCCCATTACAGAAAAAGCACATTGAGTTCCTGCAAAATATCTTTCCACCCCCCCCCAGCTAAAAGCCCCCATTTTTCATTATCTTCCCAGAGGATATGTGAGTATTCCATTTGTGTTTAGGGATTTGCCAAATATATGATCTGTCTAGAAGCCATCAGAGAGAGAGAGAACAGAAGAGAAAAGCTTTTGATTGTGCGGCTAGTGGACCATGTAAGCTATGACTTAAAAGCCTTGAAACCCAGAGAGGAAAAGGAAAATCTTAAGAAAAAATGTGACCAAGTAGTTTGAGAGCCTGCTTTCTGGAATCCTAAGGGACTTGAAACATGAAGTGTAATTTAAACAACTGGCCTGCTATAGCCCATAGCCCCTAAAGACCAACTCTTCTGGGTTATTGCTAAAGGAACTTGGTAGCTCACCTTTGGCCCTGGTGCTCTCTGAGGGTATCTGCTATTCAAACACGGGTATCTGATGTGAAAGGCCAAAAAAAAAACAACCCCAAAACTTCTAAGAGATGACAGCCTGGCTGATGGTTAATTCTGGCCAGGTAGAATGTCTTCCCACTGGAAGGGACCTTAGAAATTATCTGTTCCAATCTTTACTTAAAGCATCAATCCCCTATAAGATGATGGATTTTGAGGAGGAAGGGGTCTCTGAGGTCATTGACTTCAAAACTATCTTTTTATAGTCGAGGAAACTGAGGTCTATAGGGTAGCAGAGCTCAGATTTGAACCTAAGCCTTCTGACTCCAAATCCAGGGTTCTTTCCATTATTCCACAATGACTCTTTTAGGAGATCTTCAATTCAGCATCAGACTCTATTTTTGTTCCTGGACCACATCTTGACCCCTGTTGTTGTGGTTTTTTTGGCCTAGGTGTTACCCAGCAGTTTGACTTGCCTGTGCCCAGGATTTCTTGCCTACCTGGAGGCAACCTCTGGACCAGCTGATTTGAATCACCAGGCAGCCCTTTCCATTTGTGGGCAGCTCCAGTGAGTACAAAGCTCTGTCTTGCATGGAGTTGACTTGTGCCTCTTCCTTTCCCCCATTTGTCCTAGTTCTGTTTTTGGAGACTGGACAGGGAAAATCAAATTGCTCTTTCTCCTGCGATGTCAGCTGGCAGTTTTCCCTTGTGTGGTGAAAATGGGAGTTGCAACTGTGTTCTGTGGAATTTATCAAATCATATTATGCTTGAGGTGTCTTTTTTTTTGTGTGAAATGACTGATTGGCTTCATCTTTTTAGTTTGTGTGAGGCTATTATTTCTAAGTCTAGTTCCCTTTTCTTCTTCTGTCTCTGAATGACATTTTTATCTTTGTCCTGTAGCAACATTTTTATTCCTATGAGCAATCCAGGATCTGCTGCAAACTTAAATAGTCCAAATACTCCCTATGGGTGGGTGGGAATATATTACATTTGTTTCATTAAGACTCAGCTAGAACCAGCATAAAAAAGTGGAAGGTTAAGTGACTTGCCCATAGACACATATCTAGGTTGTGCTCTCATTCACCATGCCACAAACCTTTCCTCCTCTGTAAAATGAAGTAATGTACTAGATGATCTCTACAGATCTTCTTAAATCTAAATACCATGATTCTAAGTGGCTCACAAAGTCGACAAGGGTTCTTAATCTGAGGTCTATGGCTAGATTTTAGGATGGTCCATGAATTTAGATAGGAAGAAATTACATCTTTATTTTCACTAACCTTTGATTTCCTTTGTAATCCTATGCATTTGATTTTGTACATTTAGAAACATCATTGTGAGAAGGGGTTCATAATCTTCATCAGACTCTGAGTGGGGTGCATGAAACAAAAAATTGGATAACAACACTAAGTATAATAGAATGGAAAAACAAAACCAAAACAACTGTGTGTCCAAGGCTATGAATTTTCCTGAAGTTCCTTTTGGGCTACAGACTAACCCTGTCAGTGGTCACCTAGGTCCTGCGCGTGAGTGGGTGTACCTGGCTAAGGGGATTGCAGAATGCTTGGGTTAGAGAAAGGAGCAGCTTTTGACAGGCAATCTAGTGGCAATTCAACATTTCTTGGCCCTTCCTAATAGCCTCATGCAGATTATTTCAGCATCAGCCTCTGCTGGTGTGATTTATTAAACTCTACATTTTATCTCACCAGAATTGCTCTGTTCTGTTAATGTGTATTTGTGATAGTGTAGCCCTGAGATGTTTTGAAGATAAATGACTTCTGAAACTGAAACATTTTCAAAACCTGCAGCAGTTCAAACAATTTAAAGGATGTTGAATGATTGATGGGAAGAGTAAAAATAAAGGGTCTTGATGACCCATCATGTGTGCTGATCTCTGACAAATGACTTTGTTGCCCTGATGGGCTTTCCATTCTGCAAGGGGATCAATGGTCCATGTGACCTGACCTCCTCCTTCTTCCAGCTGTCTGATTGCCTCATCTCAAGAGAGACATAACAGAGCCTAAGAAGGTCCAGAGAAGAGCAACTCAAATGATCAAGGAGATGGCAGAGGGTGAGTTTACTGAAATTTCAAGATTGGGACTCTCCAGTCTGTAAAACTGCCTGGATAAAGCCTATGAAATTACACATGGGATAGAGGAGAAGAAAGCATTCTTGTTCATTGAATCCTGGCATAATAGAATTACAGGGCACCCCTTGAAGCTTGAAATAATTAAATTCAGGACAAATAAGAGGATGTACTAATTTACCCAACTGGTGGTAAACTGATTAAACTCATTCCCCAAAGGGGGCATGGGCTGAAAATATGAATAGTTTATTTTGAAAGGGATAAATCAATTTAGAAACTTTAGATCCATATCCAATATTGTCCCACCTTTCTGATCCAATCTTGCTCTATTTTCAACATAAATTCATTGGTCCAGTCCTCCTCCCCTTAAAAAAAATATACTATACTATTCCCACTTCAGTATTTTGCTTAGAGTGTTCCCCACACCAAGGAACCTTCCCCTCTTCTCTAACTCCAACAATATATGTAAATCAGTATGCATTAATAATATATGATTGCCATACAGTGATGAAACCATTTAATAGGTCTATATGTAAAGCAAATATATACAATACATATAAATATGCATATATATATATATATATATATATATATATATATATATATATATATATATATATATATATATATATGTACGTGTACACAAGCATATGCTTAGCTCCTCTGGTTTGCTCCAATGTCACATCAGCACCAGCACCAGCACCAGCACCACCACAAATATCGCTATAATGCTTTAACATTTGCAAAACACTTTACACATATAATCCCAAGAGAGCATGTACATATATACCATATACCATATACTACTGTGTGTACATTTATATATAAATGAATGTTTGAAGCTTTGTGGTTTAGTGGATAGAGAAGAGCTGGTTGCTTCTTCTTACCTTTCTCCCACAGGTCTAGTGTCTAAAGTGTGGGGATCCTTCTCCAAACAGCAATGCAAAATAGCCCAGAGAATTCAACCCAAGTTCACTGCAATGAAGCCCCTGCCAGTGGCTCATCTAAGGTATCCCCCATATGAGAGCAACAGTCCAGAAGTCAAGCTAATTAGGTCCCCTAAACTCTCTCCTGAGTTTGATCCCTAGAAATTGGTGTCTCTGGACACCAATAAAAGTTTAGCTTCCAGAATAAATAAATTCCTGCTCTGAGACAAGAATCAGTGCTATGCTCAAAGACAGATTCAAACCTCAGTTCCCTCCAATCCTTAGTTTAAATGCTATCTTCCATAGGAGACCTTTGACCTTCCCTAATAGTCCCAGTTTTATATATATACAAATACATACATGTAAAACACATGCATGTATGAACATGCATATATGCATGATCTAATGAAATATTATGTAAAATATTATAAATGTTAAAGCTTTGTATATGTGTTACCTAATGCACAGATACAAATATATCTATATGCAGAGATATGGATATTTATTCACATATACATGTACATATAAATACATATCTTTTTATATCTATCTATCTATCTATCTATCTATCTATCTATCTGTCTGTCTGTCTGTCTGTCTGTCTGTCTGCCTATCTATCTATCTGTCTGTCTGTCTGTCTGTCTGTCTGTCTCTCTCTCTCTCTCTCTCTCTCTCTCTCTCTCTCTCTCTCTATCTATCTATCCATCCATCTATCTACCAGAAGAGCTAAAGCCCTTGATCACTGCTTTCCCTGGCATCGCGTAGTCTCATCTTCCCACTGGCCATTGTTTTATTTTCATTTCTGTGGCTTATAAACCTCCTTCATATTCTCCCATTCCCCTTCTTTTTGTGAGAAATTTAGTCAAATAGCCACTACTATTAATGGACCTACAAATAATGTTTTAATACGTTGCTATTTTGTTCCACTCACCAGCCCAATAGCTTCCTAAATCATACTTACCTTCTCTGGCCACCTCTTCCACATACACATGCATAATATACACATGTATACACATTTACATACACCTTCTATACATACACGTATCTATCTTTCTAAACTTTATTATTATCTTTTTCATTACAATGGAAGTTCCTTAATGGCAGAGAGTATCTTGTTTTTGTATTTATGTCCCTAGCTGCATAACCACGTGGTAAACACTTATTCAGTGTGTAAACTATAGATAGGTATCTGAAGCCATGATAGCTGTCTTCAAGTATTTGAAAGACTATTACATAGAAGGATTGGACTCACATAAATTCATGAAGTCTTTCTGAGCTTTCTGAGGGCAGCAGATTCTGATTTCTAGACTGGTGCTCATTGGCACCACTACAAATAGTCAATACTGGAACTACAAATGTTTGAAAATGTGGGATGAGCTAGTGCTCATGGTGTTAAGGGCATGAAAATAATGAAGAGAAGGTCATCCATTCTGATAGTGTGTCTTCCACTGAGACAAGCAGAAACAGATAGAAATGATTTAATGAATGAGTGCCAAAGTGATTCATTTGAATCAAGAGGGAAAGAAACCAATTATCTTTCTTCCCTTTTCTTGGTATGGGGTTCTAGACATGTAACTTAAAGTTAATAATATATTTATGTAGGCTATAACAATGCTGAATTTTCTACTAACAGAAAAAGTTTTACAGCAGAGGGGAGAAAAGTGCTATTTTTAAGCCTCTGGTCATATATGTAGTTCCCCCTACCCTGAACTTAGATAAAATTAATTTCTCAGTCTCAATTTATTAAGTGCCTAGTATGTACAAGGGCACTGTACTAGGATAGTACTGGGGATATGGAGACGAAATGAAATTGTTCCTGACCTCAAGCTTGCATTCTACTGGGTAGACAACATGTGTGTATGTGTACACATATACACATGTCAAATACACACACAATATATACAAACTAAATCTAAGTTAATGTTTTGGAGAGAAAGCATTAGTTGGGGAGAGGGAGGAGGTAGGTTTTAGGAACCATGATGATTGATTTCACCTTTGATAGAAACTAAGATTTTTAAGAGGTGAGTGTGAGGAGACAATGCATTCTGGGCGTGGGGAATAGCTGATACCAAGGTACAGAGACAGGAGATTAATCTATGTTCTAGCGTGGTTCTCCTTTGTAATTGACAGTATGAGTTTGTAAGAAGCCAAGGCAAGGTTAACACTGTAATTAGTGCTTTGGAACAGAGATTATCTCTGGAAATGGCTTACTGGCCTGCATGGGAACTAAGCCAATGACTCTGGCCTTATTAGTACTATTGCTGCTGGCCAGAGAGGAGGAAGCAATGCATTTAGTGGAGAGGTCACTGGGCTAAGAGTCAGGAGACTTCGTTCAAATCCCAGCCTTTACTAGCTATGTGACTGTGAGGACATTGTTTAGCTTCTCAGCTTCCTTATCCATAAAAATAAAAGTATTATCTGCACTACCATCTCACAGGACTCTTGTGAGCAAACTGTTTTGTGTTATATAAATGAATCATTCCCATAAATTATTTAAAACAGAGTGTCAACTCCTTAACTAAGATTTCAATTTATTTTACAATATGAGTCTAGCTTACCTTTTAAGATGTATCTGACATTATTTTTCATCACACACTCTAGCATTAAACCAGTTTGATTGAATAGAATCCAGTCCAATTCAATCCAATCTAATTCAATTTATATTTATTAAGCATCTACTAATACAGGACATTATGCTAAATGCTGGAGACATTAAGACAAAATGCTAAATAATTTCTACCCTCAAGGAACTTATACTGGAGGATAGAACATGTACCAGGGAAGTAAATACCAAGTCATTTGAGGAGAGTGAACATTGAACTGAGGGTAAGTGGGAGTGGGTGGATGGAGGAAAGGTATTTCTTAGGAAGGGGAACCTAAGTGGATCCTTAAGGTTTCTAAGAGGTAGGGATGAGGAGGGAACACACTCCAGGTATAGGGATTAGTCTGTGCAAAAGTGTAGGTGAGAAATGAGATCCTGAGTCTAGGGAGCAGCAAGTCAGTTATTTTGGCTGCATTGTAGAATGTATGAAGGAGACTAAAATGAATTAAGTCTAGAAAAGCATTGTGGAGCCCAACAGGGATGCCTAACTGTACTATTTACCACTTGTTGAATTCTTCCTGGCCTTCACTACCTTGGTTGCTCACTCTGTCTCCTATGTCTACAAACTTCTTCCATTGTTTTGATATAATTCAGTTGAAATCCTTCCTATTTGCCTCCTTCACTAAGCCTTCTATTCATCCTCTTGGCTAGGAGGGCTCTTCCCTCCTCCAGATTCCATAGTGTTTGGTATCTCTTCTATGTGCTCTTTTCCCTTGATCTCTCTGAAGCTCTTTTCACTGTTGATCACTTTCTCCTCTTCTTCTCTTCTCTCTAGGATTTTGGGACAGTGCTCTCTTCTGCTTTTCCTCCTACCTATCTGACCTTCTCTGTCTCCTTTATTGGATCCTCTTCCAGATCACACCCTCCAACAATAGGTGTCCCACAACTGTGGTTGTCCAGGGCCCTCTTCTTTCTTTCTTTTTTTATTTACACTCCTTCAGTTAGTGATCTCATCAGCTACCATGAATTTAATTACATCTCTTTGCTAATGATTTTCAAATCTACTCATGCCCTAATCCTCTGCTGACCTCCAATCTTGATTCTCTGACTACCTTTCAGATAGCTTGAACTGGATGTCCAGTAGACAACATTTTAAAAAATTTATTTAATTTTCAATTTATGGAATGAAACAAGCATTTCCATAACACGATGTAATAAAAAAGATGATTACACATGAAACTGTAAATATACTATGTACAATTTGCTATTCCTTTCAAACATATAACAAAATTATCATGTCATCAATTTCTTTATACATATATATACACACATACAAACACATATATACATATATGCATACACACATGCATATACACATATATAAATAGAAGTATGTTCTATTTATCAGTTCTTCCTCTGGATGCAGATAGTATCTTTCTTCATATGTCCTTTATAGTTAATTTTGCTATTTATAATAGTCAAAATAACTTATTTGCTCAAAGTC